AGGAGTTACCAGGCGTGCCTCCGGAGAGGCAGGTGGAGTTTCGTATCGATTTGGTTCCGGGGGCGGCGCCCATCGCCAAGGCGCCCTACCGTCTCGCTCCACCGGAAATGCTGGAATTATCCTCGCAGCTTCAGGAGCTGTTGGGGAAGGGATTCATTCGACCCAGTAGCTCGCCTTGGGGAGCGCCGATTTTGTTCGTCAAAAAGAAGGATGGTTCACATCGGATGTGTATCGATTATCGGGAGTTAAACAAGTTGACGATTAAGAACCGGTACCCGTTACCTAGGATCGACGATCTATTCGATCAGTTGCAGGGGGCATCTTGGTTTTCCAAGATTGACTTGAGGTCGGGATATCATCAGATGAGGGTTCGCGAAGAGGATATCCAAAAGACTGCCTTCAGAACTCGTTATGGGCATTATGAGTTTGTAGTGATGCCTTTTGGGCTCACCAACGCCCCTGCTGCATTCATGGATCTCATGAACAGGGTGTGCCGACCGATGCTGGATCGGTCGGTGATCGTATTCATCGATGATATCTTGGTATATTCGAAGACTAGGGACCAGCATGAGGAGCATTTGCGGGAGATTCTTCGGGTGTTGAGGTCGGAGAGGCTGTATGCCAAGTTCTCCAAGTGTGATTTCTGGTTGCGAGAGGTCCAATTCCTCGGGCATCTTGTGAACCAGAAAGGGATATTGGTCGACCCGGCCAAGATTGAGGCGGTGCTGAGGTGGGAGGTGCCGAGATCGCCCACCGAAATCAGGAGTTTTCTGGGTTTGGCTGGATATTACCGCAGATTTATCAAGGATTTCTCCAAGATCGCTGTGCCACTTACTAAGATGACCCGGAAGGGTGTCGCGTTCTCATGGGGACCGGAGCAGCAGTCCTCGTTTGAGACGCTTCGTCAGAAATTGTGCGAGGCTCCAGTGCTTGCACTCCCGGAAGGGATGGAGGATTTTGTGGTATATTGTGATGCCTCTATATCGGGTTAGGGGCGGTACTTATGCAGAGGGGTCATGTGATAGCATACGCTTCGAGGCAGTTGAAGCCTCATGAGTCGAGATACCCCACGCACGACCTGGAATTGGGGGCGGTGGTGTTTGCCCTCAAAATCTGGCGACACTACTTGTACGGGGTTCGGTGTACGATTTACACGGACCATAAGAGCTTGAAATACTTGATGGATCAGCCAAATCTGAATATGCGTCAGAGGAGGTGGTTGGATGTGGTAAAGGATTACGATTGTGAGATCCTGTACCACCCGGGCAAGGCTAATGTGGTAGCCGACGCGTTGAGCCGTAGGGCGGATAGCGCCCCGATCCGAGACATTTGTATGAGGTTGACGGTTTTGACCCCGATTCTGGATATTATTCGAGGGGCTCAGATGGAGGCTGCAAAGCCGGAACACCAGAAGAAGGAACGGGTGGTGGGTCAGGTACCAGGATTTGTTACGGATGGTCGGGGGCTTATGACTTTTCAGGGGCGGATTTGGGTGCCGTTTGTGGGCGGTGTGCGCACTACTTTGATGGAGGAGGCACATCGATCGAAATTCTCGATTCATCCTGGTGCTACGAAAATGTATTTGGATCTCAAGAAGGAGTATTGGTGGCCATGTATGAAAAGGGATGTCGCTTGGTTCGTCGAGAGGTGCTTGACTTGTCGGCAGGTCAAGGCCGAACACCAGCGACCGCACGGTAAGCTGCAACCGCTAGAGATCCCCGAATGGAAGTGGGAACAAATCTCTATGGATTTCATTACCAAGTTACCGCGAACGGCGAGAGGAGTCGATGCGATTTGGGTAATCGTGGATCGACTAACAAAGAGCGCTCATTTTCTAGCTATAAGTGAGAGCTCTTCTGCGGAAAAGTTGGCGGAGTTATATGTGAGGGAAATAGTATCGCGGCATGGGGTGCCAATCTCGATTATTTCAGACCGCGACGTGCGTTTCACTTCCAGGTTCTGGAAGAAATTCCATGAAGAGTTGGGTACTAGGCTGCATTTCAGTACGGCATATCATCCTCAGACAGACGGCCAGAGTGAGCGGACCATTCAGACGCTCGAGGACATGCTTCGGGCGTGTGTGTTGGACTTCGGAGGGTGCTGGGACACCTATCTACCTTTAGCAGAGTTCTCGTATAACAACAGCCATCATTCGAGCATTGGTATGCCGCCCTTTGAGCTGTTGTATGGGCGGAGGTGTCGCACCCCCATCTGTTGGGGTGAGGTGGGACAGCAGGTTATGGGTAGCACGGAGATCGTGCTTCAGACGACCGAGCAAATTCAGATAGTCAGGCAGAGGTTGCTGACCGCTCAGAGCCGGCAGAAAAGTTATGCAGACAGGCGACGGTCCGAGCTTGAGTTCCAGGTTGGTGATCTCGTGCTCCTGAAGGTCTCTCCTTGGAAAGGAGTGATTCGATTCAGGAGGAGGGGCAAGTTGGGGCCCCGGTATATTGGTCCTTTTCGTGTGATTGCAAGGGTGGGACGGGTAGCCTACCGTTTAGACTTGCCAGCAGAGTTGGGACAGATTCACGACACTTTCCATGTGTCGCAGCTGCGAAAATGTATAGCCGACGAATCAGCGGTGGTTCCGTTAGGAGATATTCAGGTGGATGCAAGTCTGAATTATGCAGAAAAGCCTGTAGCCATCAGAGATCGGAAGATCAAGGTTTTGAGGAACAAGGAGGTGCCTCTGGTATTGGTTCAGTGGCAGCATCGGAAGGGATCAGAGATGACTTGGGAGCCGGAGCGGGAGATGCGGGAGCAGCATCCGGAGCTTTTTGGCTAAGCGGGACTTCGAGGGCGAAGTCTTATTCTAGTGGGGGAGATTTGTAACAGCCCGGATCCCCAGGTATCCCCATTTCCTTATATTTTTGGAATTCTGTGAGGGGACTCGGCGAGTTGGTGGTTGAACTCGTCGAGTCGGGTCGCGGTTTATAGCGGGGGTTCGCGTCCGGACTCGGCGAGTCCAAGGGGTGGACTCGACGAGTCCGTGCTGTTTAATGAAACCCTAATTCCCCGACCCTGAGCTCTATTTAAAGGACCTTATGGCCCTCTTATGCGGCCACCTTGAACCCTAAGAGCCTCCATACGTCTGTAAGCCCTTGTGTGTGTGTTTGAAGGCCTTTTGTTCTTCATTTTGTGTGATAGTGCAAGGAAAGGAGGAGAGGAGCAAGCTTGAAGTGTTGGGAGCTTAGATCTGTTGCTATTTCATCAAGGGGGTCTTCTTGAGGTAACATTCTGAGCCAATCTTCGTGTTTTGTGTTGATGGGCCAAATCTAGGGTTTCTTCTTGCCTTTCTTGGCTTGAATAAGAAGTATGAGAGGTCCCATGGAGACATGGAACCTAGATCTGGACTTTAGCAGGTCCAGGAGACCCCTTATGACAAGCTTTATGCCCATTCATTTGAGTTAGAAGCTATACTTGCCATATTGAAGGTTGTTTCTTCAAAATAAGCCTTGTATGCATTGCATGGCAACCAAGACTGAGACTTTACGTGACAAATAAGCTTGGGAAGGCCAGATCTATGTATCTATGGAACGGATCTGACCGCAGAGCCAGTTTTAGCTGGTGCATGGCATGGACTCGCCGAGTCTGAAGAACAGACTCGACGAGTCACTTGAAGATTGTCCTTGAGACCATCTTGTGTGTAGACTGGACCGAGTTGTGAGCGACTCAGTGAGTCGCAGAGAGTTGGAAAGGTTTTGGCAGGTGGACCGAGTCAGGATGGGACTCGCCGAGTTGGCCTTAGACTCGGCGAGTTGAGTCGCGGTGACCCTGCGATTCAGGCCCAGGTGGAACTCGTCGAGTCAGGGGAGTACTCGACGAGTCAAAGGGAAAATTCTTGAGAGTTGGTAAAAACGCGTAGACTCGCCGAGTCACTATTGTGCACTCGCCGAGTCTAGTCCAAATTAACTAAAGACTGCTGACCGGGTCAACCGGTGTTGACTTGAGTTGAATGGTCCACCTTAGTGGTACAAGTAATAATTATAGATGTATATATATATCATAGGAGGATTTCAGCTCGAGGGTTCGAGCCCGAGTGATTCCAGGATTTGCGGGTAGCAACTTAGCGAGGCATACGAGGTGAGTCTTCTCACTATACTGTACCCGGAAGGGTTTTGACTATGTGACCGGAAGGTCGAATATGATATGGAATATATGCTCTATGTGTGTTAAGTTATTTGCTATATGTGTCATGTATGATATGTTTGATATGGGCCGGAAGGCGTGGTCATATGGACTGTAAGGATTGATGTGGGTAGGACCGGAAGGTTTACCCAGTCGGGACGGAAGTCCCCTGAACACATGGACCGGAAGGTCAAGGCCTGGAAAGGCGTATGTGCAAATGTTGTATTTTGGGAACTCACTAAGCTTTATGCTTACAGTTGTTGTTTATGTGTTTCAGGTACGAGTGAGGACCGTGGGAAGGCGCCAGCGTGATCGTACACACACTCGGGGAAACTATTTTATCTTTTGATATGTAATCGTTTGAGACTACGACGTGATTTTGGAAATCTAAACTAATTACTCATGTCTTAATGGTTGTAAAAATGAAAATTTTTGGTTGGAAATTTTATGACGTTACAATGATTTTTTATGCCATTAGTTAAGGATTATGGGATTTATATGTGTATTTTGGCGATCATTCTATATACCTTTCGTAACTTAGTATAAGCAATACAAATGGTTCTCCATTTGCTTTTGTGCAATCCCTTATTTTGGAAACAACGCCAATGAAGTCTGTTTGTAAGTAAGTGCATAAGCTGTCAATCGAATATATTCAACCATATAGGAAAATATTATAGAAGTTGGTAATTAAGCAGTAAAAATATGTTAAATATTCTATAAAGATAATATGTAGTAGATATTTGTAGATTGGTTAAATGGATAACGTAGTGAGAACCTGGATAGTATGGGGGTGCTTCTCCAAGCTCAATTAGTTGTGGCTTTGAAATGAATCGAAACCAGGTCTTATGAATTGTGATTGTGTCTGGAATTCGCTATGTGCTGGACTTCAGACCGACATCGATATAGATATCGTTTTCTAGAACCTTTTGATACTTGTCTAATTCAGGACAACTATAATCCGATATAATATAACGTTGTGAAACATTCAAAACGGATTCAATGTAACTCTGGTTTGTTCGCTGGCCAAGAATTTGGATTGCATCCACCTGTAGAAAGATATTATTGTAGTATTGGATTTAATGCCATTGCTTCTGTATTTGGTTTTGTATATTAGCATAATCTGTTCAGAAAAACGTGTTTATTCGGGCAAGAAATAAATTGGTTTTTGTATGTGAACTTACGTATTTCTCGACAGCCAAGTACCAGGTTTCGTATTGCCAGATATCATGTTTCCATTTGCGTAGTATTCTGACCTGTAAGGGACCTCCAACGCCCTTAGCTTTCAGCTCGGAAATTGTCGTCATTTGGTATTTGTGTTCCCTAAAATAATAAAATATATACAGATAACGTGTATATGTGAGTGCCAATATAAAATAATGAAAATAAGTTGGGAGTGTGTAAATGACAAATTGTATATGAATAAAATGAAAAGCAGTAATGTTCTTTAAAAGGTGGACAGGGAGTGATACTGTAGACCTCTGTCGAAGTAACTTTATGTAGTAAATCTCTGTAAATGACATTTTTTGTTTCGTTTGATGTACAGCTGTCATTGGTGTTAAGCAGTATTCTTATCGAATCCGGTGATGTTGCTCGTGAGAGGGCAACATAAAGTTGGTCATGTGCAAAACGGGCTGTGAAAATAGATTCCAATCTTACAGAGTGATTGACCCTGGCTCTTATTGATGGTCATTGCGTAACATACTTTGACTGGAAATTGTTTGCGTGAAAAGACGAATGGTAAATATGATGAATTGTGTATGAACTTAATGCGGGGTATATACACACTTTTTCCGATCGAGGTGCCCGTTATGATCGTTGATTCAATGACGGTTGGTAATAGTTGTGAAACAATCAATCTGGTACCGTTGCATAAACCTTCTTTCAGATTGATGTTTCTTAAAAGCATTATTGGGCAGTCAACTTTAAGGTGAAGCTCATGGGGTGGGATTCCTGGAAAAGTTAGTTGGTTTAGATATTCAATTGGATACAGGTCCTCCAAATCCGATGTGTGTTTTCCATTGGGTTGCATGGAGTCAGTGCTGTTGTATATACTCCTAACTGTATTCACTAATTTCAGGACTTGAGAGTTTATTTCGTCCACTGCATCGTTCGTGGGACAAGCTATTGCTCTTTCCGAAAGTTGTGACGCTATTGGCCAATTAAGTATGTCGTCCCCATATACAAAATCTATCAAAGTCTGTAATGAGTCAGGGGAAGGTGATATGAGGAGCGGTGGTGGGATCTGCACCTAGCTTGTGTCTTGGGGGTCATCCGTATCAGGGACACCTATATGGCCATCACCAATATCCAGGAGCCATGTGGAAAAGTTATAAAAACTCATTGAGGATTGGGATGTTGTATTAGAGGATTGAAGTCTCATGTTCGTATGCAGAAACATAATTTTAAAATATGGCCATAAATACAAACTCGGTAGACTTAGTCCAATGATTTCTGAACGTGTGCTTCTTGGTACAACGGGTAGAGTTTGACGGAAATCACCACCAAGAAGGACCGATATTCCTCCAAACGGTTGTTCCTCACAGGACAACACATCTCTAAGTGAGCGGTCCAAATATTCAAAACATCTTCTATCATTCATTGGTGACTCGTCCCATAGTATGAGTGTTGTTTGTTGTAAAAGATCGCCAAGAAAGGTTCCTTTTTTGATATTGCATGATTTTTTGTTGTTTAAATCAATTGGGATTTTGAACCTTGAATGTGCGGTTGTACCTGACGGTAAAAGGAACGATGCTATCCCGGACGCAGCGATAGCCAAAGCGATTTTCCCCATAGATCTCAAATGGGAAAGAATTCTCGTCCATAGGAACATTTTACCAGTTCCACTGTGGCCATACACAAATATTAGAGCATGTTGGTTGTTGTCAATGGAAGAGATGACATCGTTATAGACTAATCGTTGGTGATAATTTAGCTTTTGTAGAAGGTCAACATGTTGTTTTCGTAGTACCTCCCTATCATAGCTAATTTCTTCCAATAACAACCGATTTTGTAGAATACCAGTGACATCTACTGACGGAACAGGAAGGCCAAAGTCTCTCATTGATTTGGATGGCACAGCGGACCGGAGCATGTCATCTAAATCACAAAGTAGTTGATGTTCAAAAACCCCAGCGAAAGAGGTAGCCGTCTTATCTGTGACATTAACACCTAGGGTATGCAAATAGTCATCTTTCATCCTATGGCAAGAAGTGTTCCACAGCAGAAGCGGATTGCTAACCTCACAAAAGAGGAGTAGGTGACAGAAAAGCGATCGTAGCTGTGATGCGGTAGCCCATGTTGCAGCTTTTGTAAAACATGTCAACCATTCAACATCATCACCTATTAATCGAAGTGCATTACATGCATCTCTGTAAGTCGGGTACACCGTTCCAGCTACGGTACGTAAATCCTTAAACGACGTACATCCCTTCTGGTGACACAGAAGCATCCGTAAATAGAATAGCTCTCCAGAGGTCGGGTGTACGAATACAAGGCGGCCTATCATTTTTGATGATTCATAGACTCTCCAATCCCACGATTTACTCGGCTTATCCCATTTGTAATTTTTTGGATAATCCAAGTATGTCAAATGATGACCCTCGGGGTCCCTTGAATTGCTCTTGAACCAAACAAGGAGGGTAGTAGTGGCGGCATATGGATTAGATAAGACTTCAGGAATGGAACTGTCCCCATTGAAGACCATCTGTTGTTTATTTTCCTCATGGACTGTAAGAACCTGAACTGGTGGATATCGCTGGTGTATGTGAAAGTCCAATATCCGCCACGCTGCCTCATGCGGACAGATATACCGGCCATCTAAATAATTATGTACCTCATTTATTGGACGACAATCATCATTTGTCGCTATTTAATGGGTAGCAGGAGGAACCGAGGTAGATGCAAGATTGGTGTTTCCCTGTTTTTGGATAAGATATTTTACACGATCTGCACCTTTGGATATGTACTTAAATAGATACTTAATCAACATGTTCCATCCACAATACTCCACATTTATATGTGCACGGAACCGTGAACATAGTCTTTTGTTGTATGGTACAACATATCCATTATCAATAATCTGTCCAAATTGAGTAGTGTGGTGTGCAGTCGAATTACGTTTGTAACGTGCATATCCATCTGTGTCAAAAAATTTCGCATCTACAAACAGTTTAGGAAAGTGTTTATTACATTTTCCTTCCTTCATACATGCTGCCTTCTAGTTAAGTGGTCCGCATGGACCGTGAGTCATACAGGTTGTTATAGTATTATACAAATCTGACTCGTTAACTGGATCGGGCAGCTCAGCTATTATATACTTATAAATCTCGGTCGCAATTTTAATGAGGTCCTTTGTTGACACCCACAGTAACGTATGGCAGTGTGGTAGGCCTCTTTTTTAGAATTCAATAGTGTACAGATCTGCAATAATGTAGATTTAAAATAGATAAGATATATATCCAGATATTCTTCGTAACTGCAGATAAGTGGAAAAGATATATATATATATATATATATATATATATATATATATATATATATATAGATGTACATTTGAAAGTAATCACAAAACCGATAAGCAGATAACACATTTTGTATAAAAAAAACTTTTTATATTTTTTATAAATAAATCATAAACGGGATAATTTTGGAACAACATATAAAGAAAATGCTAAAAAGGAAAAGATATTCTACAATAATATGTTGAGAATAAAAAAAAATTAACTTCGGTTAGAAGTCATAAAACAGTTATATTCCAAAACTACCCCTGAAGTGTGTATGTATGATTAAAGAAAAATATATGTTCTACATTGTTTACCAAACATAATGAAAATGATAAAGTAAGCAGAAACGGCTCAATAAGAGGATATAGTTAGGAAAAAAGAGAATGTAAAAGTAAATATGGTTGCTTTCTGTCAAAAAGCGTGAAACGGTCATATTCCAAAACTACCCCTGTAGTTTATATGTGTGATTGTGTGATTTCGTTTGGACATAACGAAGAAGGTTATGCGATGGGCTGCATGAGGTGATAACAAAAACGTATAATGAGTAGAGGATGAAAAAAAACTATACCCTATAAAAAAGAAAATTACAATATATATTCTACATTGTTTACCTAACAGAATGAAAATGATAAAGCAAACATAAATAGGTCAATAAAAGGATATATTTTGGAAAAAAGAAAATGTAAAACTAAATGTGATTGCTTTCTGTCAAAAATCGTTAAACGGTTGTATTTCAAAACTAACCCTGTAGTTTAGATGTGTGCTTGTGTGATTTCGTTTGTACATAAGGAAGAAGGTTATTCGATGGGCTGCATGAGGTGATAACATAAACGTATGATGGGTAGATGATAAAAAAAACATACCCTTTAAAAAAGAAAATTACAATTCATCAGAATCTAGAAAACTGGAAACATCAGAAACAGATGACCATAACATATGGAAACGTCGACACACAGTGTATGCAAGAAACCGAAGGAACCCAACCATAATAAGAGGAATGTAATTTTGCAATAAAACAGTGTTGCTTTAATGCAAAGAACAATCAGTTATATAAACGGTAACATCTGTATTAGTAAAGGGTTGTTCATCTAGCAGGGAACAACATATACGGAAAATAAGTGCATGGTTTGTCGTTTTTAAGAAAGTAAATAGGGTCTCTTTCAGTTGAGAAGAACAAAACTGTGAAATTCCAAAAGAACCCCTACAGTATGTATGTGTCTTTGTGTCTTTTCCCTTGTAGATAAATAAGAAGATCTTGTGACAAATTGTGTAAGATGACAAATTGTTTAAAAAAAAAAAAATAGATGACATTTGAGGAACATACAAATAATATTTGTTGTTGAATTTTACAAAATCTGTACAATATGCAGATATATATATATCAGAAAATAAAGTCCTTAATAAGATGATATATTTAAGAAAAAGAAAATTCATAACTGAAGAGGATTTCAATCTGTTTAAAGGTGTAAAACAGTAGATGACATTTGAGGAACATACAAATCATATTTGTTGTTGAATTTTACAGAATCTGTACAATATGCAAATATATATCAGAAAATAAAGTCCATAATAACATGATATATTTAAGAAAAAGAAAATTCATAACTGAAGAGGTTTTCTTTCTGTTTAAAGGTGTAAAACATTAATCTTCCGAAAGTACCCCTGTAGTATGTATGCGTATTTGTGTCATTTACTTTGTTGGGAATCCTTTTTTTATAAAAGAAAAAAAGAGTACATTTAGTAACGAAAGATAACGACTTCAACTATATATATTTTTAGATACATACAGCAAATGCATAAGTCATAGGGATACTGCAAACATAGTAATGTATTAATGGTATGAAAATTTTGGAAATAAATAACCAGATATTAGGATAGTTAACCGTATCTAATATAGAAGAACTGGAAGTAAGGAATACAGAAGGAGCAAACTGCGAACAATTGGGTCTAACAAAACAATTTTTATATATAAGATACCAGTACATACATAATCAACACACACAAACCAAATGTAAAAAACACATACATATAAAAAAAAAGGGCTAAAATAAAGAAAATATCAGATGTAATGAAAGAGGGTAGCCAAGTGGGGAACATACATGCTTCAACATCGCCAAAGGATTTGTCCTCTTTAAGAAACCGGATGAACTCACGAACTTTTATATTGAAGACATGACTAATTATGTCTGCTCTACTGTGTGTATCAGTTTGATGATGTGTATCCATGTACCTGGAGATCTCTGGCCATTTGAGGTTGCACATAAAGGTGATAAAGTACTGTGGATTACCATACACTCTACAAATGGATAGAGCGTCTAGATAATGGTTGTACATGAAACGGGGACCGCCAGTGAATAATGCCGGCAAGAATATCCGTTTTCCAATGGACCCTACATCTCTGTCACCCTTAGAAAGGGCATCGTATAGACCACTAACATAATTAGAACGAAGATTTGATTGATGTTTGACAATGTAATCCAACCGACTCTCCTCTATGCATGTATACGCATCAACCAAATATTGCTGAAAGAGACGTGATGAGTTCATAATTGGAGACCATATATGTTGGCGTGCGTGGATATGATATGCATAATACATATTCATAGTTAGATTCTGAGCACTCGCACCCCTCCGATTGGCAAGCTTCAAACGGGGAGACCAACCCTCCTCACCAAAAGGGAACAAAGGCGGGTATTGTAGAGGCATGTAGCTGGGATGTAGTTTACTGATACGCTGCGGATGACCATGGTGGGAGTGAATAATTATGTCATATGTGGTAGATGTTGTATCATCCCCATTAACTATGCATCCTAACGACCCAGGTAAAGGAAGATCATATCTACGATCCTCAATATGATTGAATAGTCGGACAGCATACGACTCCAATTCCATTTCTTCAGCCATCTGCTTTGCATTCTTGAAAGTCCGAGCATATTCATTACTTTCAGCTAAAAACCGACTCAAATAATTGATAACAGTTGAATCCAAAGTATTTGATCCGGGACCGTCAAAATCCCTCAACCGATTTTCAACTTCGTGATCTATATCAAATAAGTATAGCTGCAAAAATCTCGGTCCTTTTGCAGGGTCTGGCAAGAGGGACCTAATTTTATGACTGATCTGTCCGGAGACCTTAAAAACATATGGGCCACGACTATCATTGATGTCATCATCTACATTAGCCCCAAATGAAGTCATCAAAAACATACTATTGTAAGCCCTAACATCCTTTAAAAAGCTGCGACTTTCATACAAGCCAGTAAACTGGGATGGAAACCTATATAGATACGGAAGAATAACAGTACCACCTCTACAGCAATGAGTATACCTTGGGTGAGCAGCTGTCGACATATTAAGAGCCCTCTCCACATACCAGAATAACACACCGCAATATTCACAAACACAGCTACAATCACCATTATCAATATACTCAGGAAGCACCGAAAGGCGATCAAAACTTCGGGACTTCCGAGGACAATCAATCTGAAACGCCGGAGACGATGCAGGAACAGGGTCACAGTTCTTCTTGGAGGAAGCGGACATGATATAGATAGACAATAGGAAAACACAAATAAACAGTGCAATCAAAGCAGAAAACACAAAAATTAAGAAGAACGGAGAGCAAAGATTACCTTACAGAGAGAAAACCGAAAGAGGAGGAAGGAGATCGTTCCCCAAAAAGAAAGAGAAACGGAGAACAAAGAGGATGATGAAAGAAAGAGAACTGGCCATCGATTGACACGTGCGACCGACAAAATGAAGGAACAAACAATGTAAAGACACGTTGACAAAAAAATTACAAAACACCCCTACAAATCATAGAAATCGGCAAAAGTATAAGGAAGGAAAGAAGAGGGACGATTGTTGGACAAATTTCAACAATTTTACTGTTGAAATTTTCACAATCTTAATATATATATATATATATATATATATATATATATATATATATATATATATATTATAACTGAATATAAATAGTAAATAAAAATTTATCATAAGACTTAGCATCTTGCTCATGATGACCAACACCTTTACCACCTGGAAAAGGTGGGTCCTCGGCTCCATCACCCCGATATCCACAGTCGATAACAACAACCATGGTGTACAAAAACAAAAGCCATGTCGACATCATTTCCTGAAAAATTGTAAAACATATAGATACAATTTATATTACAAATACACATAATAGGAATAAACATTTCTATTTAAACTAGGAATCCAAGTAAACTTTATATTACAAATACGCATTACATAAGAACTATTCTAATTAGAATCTTCCTCATATCCTTTAGTGTCTTCTTCGGTTTCATAACAAGAATCGGTCTCATCATAATTAGTCTTGCAATCAGAAACATCATTGACTCTACCACTTGCCGAAGGAACTGTAATTGCACTTTCTACATCAATAACGACTCTAGGAATGTTTCGAAAGTACATGTTGAAATCGATAAAAAAATGGAGCATTGGATGAAGAGATATTTTGAACTACGTCGACATTGTTAACATTTTCATGTGAGCCATTGTCAACATTATGGACAAAGTCATTGTAAACAAGTTAGACATGATCATCGTTCGATGGTAGATCCAAATACTTCGATGATTAACATGCTCGACAACACACCGATGGTTATTGTTTTGGTTTGTTTGAGAAGGCCCTATAATGTAGAACACTTGTTTGGCTTGTGAAGCATATATGAGTTGATCGTCTTTGTATGCTTCGCATCGGGTGTCAATACTAGTGAAATTATCTCATAAAATAATTCATGTTCAAGTATCAAACCACTTGCACCGAAATAGTTCAGTTGAATAATCATGTGTATGCCGTAACTCTATAATCTCTTAACATGCAATAATATTTCTCGCCTTTCTCACCCATAGCTAAAACCACCGAGTTTTGTGTTGTACGTTGTACATCACGACTAAGTATCATAAACCTAACATTGTTTACTATGCATGTGGTGTAAGTATAAGCATCCATTTGTGGACCCATTGCAAGAGCCGACAATTGTTTTTGGAATTCTTGAGAGTTTCCTGTTAAATATAAAGTACTATGTATTAAGTATTCTTTACATTAATGAAACAAATTTGTTACTTAATTTGTGTTACCTTTCCACGAAACCAATTAGGAAATTCTCTCTTTTCATCACTTTGGGGATGTTTAGATTTAAATTTCCTACATTGATGACAAGAATATATTGTGACAACCCGAAATCTATCCCGTCAGTTTTAACCTTTTTCCGTTAAAAAGCTTCGTTTTATTTAACTGTCCGTTAACCTTTTGGAAGAGGTTAATTATATAGGAACTTTTATAATGACTTGGTAAGGGTTGAAACAAATTAGAAACACCCACAAAATGCCCTTAAAAATGTCTAGTTACAACCAAGTCAAAATTTGACCGTTTAATCGGGTGCGACCAAAAAGCCCCATTTAACGGAAGTATCGAGTAGAATTCCACTGAGCCCCAACTCCAACCCCTATATAACGGAGAGTAAACTTCATTTCACCCTTTTTCGCTCTCTCTCTATACTCTCTCTCTACAACTTAGTTTCGAGCCAAAAATCATCCGTTTCGAGCCACAAACGAGTAAGCCACCTATCCTAACTTGTTAAATAGCTTATCTAGCCTGCAAATTCTAGTTTAAAACATAAAATAAGGACAAAATTGATGTGTTTATGGCCCAAGAACACTCTTGGACCGTAAACACCATATAATGGGGTTTTTAAGCGGAAAGGTTTCCAAAGAAATTCTAAAGGTTTTCAAACTTATTTTACAATAGAATACCCTGTCGTGACTTCCTCAAGAATAAAAGTTTTCTTCCATGTGTTGATACTCCTCATTTAGTTAAAGTTCTTACTTATTGACGCTTTTATTTCGTGATACACTCATATTGTTATCACTTTTACTTCACTTATACTTATTACGCTTGTACTTCACTTATACTTGTTATCGCTTCTACTTCACTTATACTGGTTAACGCTCCTACTTCACGATTCGATTATCCCACACTGTTTGCTTACACTTTATGATTTGTTTATTTCCACACTATTCGTTTACACTTTATGATTCAGTTATTCCACGCTATTCGTTCATACTTTATGATTCAGTTATTCCACACTGTAAGTTATACATCACAATTCGGTTATTCCACACTGTACGTTTACACACCATGACTCAGTTATACATCACGATGTGTTTCCACTTTTTACACACTCAGTCGTAGTTAGATGTATGTTTGTACTTGTATAGGTGCATATAAATATTGATTGAAGGACTTAGGAGGGCTTGTCCGCCCTATTTCCTTTCTTCATTGAGATGTGGTCTGGTGGGATCGGATGGCTGTCCGAAGGTTGTTTGATTCATTAGTTGTATATTATGTATATGAGCATAGACATATAGGTTTACTCTAGTCAGTCCAGTTAGGAGTCTCTACCCCTAGTTTAGCACTTACATATGAAACCCACTACCCACTATTTGGGATGCATCTTCGGGACACAGCTTTCTCCATCGTCTAGTTGGTAACCTGAGTCTCCTGTAGGGAGAGCGGACATTGTGTGTATAGATCTATATGGGATTGACACCCCCGCACCCTGACTCCTAGCTACAATCCACGGCCGACCAAGCCAAGGGGTGACAAATGTCATATTTTTATAGACGCTTGTAGGGCGTCAGGTACTCTAGTGTCGGTTAGTATGGTTACGAGTATCCCAGGTTGCCTTATAATTCATGGCCTTAAGGTAACGGTATTTCACCCGCAACTTACACTGTATGCTGGAAACCCATTGTCAGAGTCACACTGTTTGTAGATCTTGCAAGCTGTATCTTTCATTTGATACTGTCCGCGATATGTATTCTCTGTTTTAGACCTTACTAGTTGTATCTTTCATTTGGTAACATCTGGGGTCTGTATCTCCTTTTGTTAGACTGAGCCAGGCGTGTCGTTCGTTCGATACTCTCCTGGAGTCTATGATTCCTTTTGCCTTAGTCAGTAGTCCTCACTGCTCAGGCATATTTATTTCCCTAATTTCTCTTGCCTTTCGTAATAATCAAATTCATTATTTTGATAATGATAGCGATTAAGGGAAAATTACTTTACACCACCTAACTCCGTCCAGTCTTGGTAGAAGACTGCTTTTATTAAAGAAAATATAGGATTTTCTGGAAAAGACACTAATTTAATGGATACTCTAAAACTACCACTTTTATTAAAGTTATTTGAATAAAATGACACTAAATACTTATGAACTCACCAGCATTTGTAAAAATGCTGATACTCGATTTTCAAATAACTTGTATTCTCATGTCAGCATTAGACAGGTACCTCCCCAGAGCTTTTGATGAAGACAATTTAGTACCAAGCTGCTTTTATATCATCTACATGTATTTTCTTTGGTGTATTGTAATGTAAACCATGTAAAACTATTACTATTAATGCAATGGTTGTTGTACTTTGATTACTATAATGCATATGTTGTGATACTTGAAATGATGTCCTCCACCCCAGAACGTATTCCGCCGTTCTCGGTTTTGGGGTGTGACAGATTGGTATCAGAGCATTGTTTATAGTGAGCTAAGTATATCAATTCATAAAAGATATACAGCCTATAAATACAAAGGGATAAAACACTCTGACCAAGAATTGTACTTTAAAATATAACCATATTTTACCAAAGTATAATAACACCCAGAATCTAAACACTCGAACGAAAGTATCACGAGAAGAACAATAATAAAAGTCTTCGGATGTTGAGCATTACCGTCAAACCTGGGCAGTTATGTAATCGTAAGCTGGAATAAATGTAACCTGATCAACTACATTTATTCGAGATGCGATGAACGTGTGCTTGGGAGTGATAGTGGTGTTACAACAGGTCTGAAACTTAGCAACTAGGAATGCTAGAGCCAAACATAAAGTTAAAATACTATGGGAGTATTTTGGAACACTAAAAGACTCACACTAATCCCAGAATCATATTCAGAAGATAAGAAAACAAACAAGAAATTAAAATACCATAGGGGTATTTTAGGATACATAGATAACCCTGTGTGAAGAACTAAAAAGATCCTTATTGATATACCTATGATTACAAAGGGTATACTACCAAGTTTATATATAATAAGGATCCCATAGGCTAAGAATGTGTGGTTTCACCCTATTTCCTTTTCCTCGTTGGGATGTGGTTCTAGAGTAGTATCACATATTCGAAGGCCTATCGAATCTAAGCTATATATGATTTGTATACCCTGTGTAATCGTAACAGGACCCGATATGGATCATCCAGTTAAATGTTAATGATCTCTTAGGAGTCTTTAGACATTTCCATTCTCGCACGAACCCTGTAGAAAACCCTATCCACTTTAGTACTTGGCAGAAGAGTTGATTCCGACCCCGAAGAAGTTCATTGAGAAGATTTCGTGTTCAGAAATAAATGAACTGAGTTGAGACAATTGAATTCACCAAGTGCCTATATCTTTTAGGGACATCGGTGAGAAATTCGCCTAAACTTCTGAGATTTCTAGTCATCCATCATGAAGTGATGACA